ATAGTGATATTTACATGATAGCATAGAAACTATATTTTTCAATTATTATATTTTACTTAAAATCTGTTGCTGGATTTGATGAAAAGTTGCACGTGTCTGAATACTTCTGTATCGGTATCTACTGACAGATTTTCATTCCCAAATAAAAATAAACCTAAATTTACTGGATATAAATTATATTCAACTAGTTTGTGTTTTGAAATAGCGTAATTCGTACTATATTAAAAAGTGTACATTCTAAGAAAATATAACCAACTTCCTCACAGGAATGTCCAAAAGCGCATGATGGATTATCTACAATCGTAAAACGGAACAAATGTGTTTTCAAAGAGCTACACTGATGTCTGAGTTTCGTATGTAATATATTTAAATTGCGTTCGCGAAATAACAGTATTTAAAGATGACAATGTTCTTATTGTATTGTCTAACAAATTCCAAAGTTGTAAACTCGATGGCAAAAAGAAGAGTTGCTTGAGGAGAGTCTGAAAGAAGAAATATTGTAATCAAATTGGTTCCGTAAATTGTACCGATTGTTGTTACCCACTGTGTTTGGCAAAAGGGCCGATAAATAGCTGGGGGTTAAATTGTTTATCATTTGTTTCTCCTCTCTGATAATGTTTCTAAACTAGTTTCAAAATATAGTGAATCATTACCTTATAAGAAGGCAGACCTGTTATAACTCGAGCCGCCTCTCTTTGAGCTTTCTCTAATTTCTCGGATTCAAAAGTAGTGCAACCATCCCATAATTCACAGGCATATTCAAAAACTGGTAAAATGAAAGGTTTTATAAAATTTTAAAAGTGAATCTCTTTTCAACAAGTATTTGAGTTTTCGTAAAACATTAATCTTTTTCATAACCGGACTATAATCTGCCTCAACATGACTCACCCATTTTCCATTTGAATTGAAATATCACAAAAAAATGATAGGTATGTTTTCTTTCTTCTAAAGCAATACAAATATTATGGTAAATTTCAATAAGTTGATAAACAGGAGAATGACAAGGCATAAAACCTGACTGGTATCGATAAAACAAGTTAATTTCAAACAAATAATTATACAAGTGTTTGTAAACTACACGCTCAAAAACTTTACCAACTGTAGATAGTAGGGATATAGGTCTATAGTTACACGGCGCATTACGATCACCTTTTTTGAAAAGCGGCATAACGGTTGCAAGTTTCCACGAAGAAAGTGACATGTTAAAAAGTATTTCAAGCGGTTTGCAGATAGAGTTAGCAGTATACTTCAGCACATGATGACTTATCCCCTCCCCTCCCGAAGCTTTCCCTAGCTTTAAAACTTGTAAAACATCTTTTATTTCTGAATGATTTAATATCAACATCATTAACACGGGTTATACTACAAAAAGTATTATTAAGTAAACGGGCTTTATCGTCAACGTTTGAAAAAGTACTATTTGTTGCTGGGTCCGTCTTTGAAGAAATGTTTTGATAATGTGCACCGGATTTCATAAGTCATTTTACTAGTTTCCAATAAGATTTTGGATCAGAAGAACTACAATACAACATTCATGAGCACTTACTGCTCTGTCAATAGGTAAAACTGAAGACTCTTTGCAAGTAAGTGAATCTGATAGAAAAATGGGGTCAAGTAAACTAGATCTAGATGGACTAATTCTTGTAGGTTCATTTATAACGTTTTACAAGGAAAATGTGTTAATACAATCAATAAGGACATGGTTATTGGAAACAGTAAATAAATCAACGTTTAGATCGCCAATAATAACTACATTTTGAGATATATCTAATGCACTATCAATAGATTTTGCCAGAAATGATTGCCAGAGTATTCAGGCCTATAAACTGTATCAATTATTAGAATTGATCTGGGCAAAGTAATTTGTATCCATATGACTTCATCACAAGGGTATTCTATAGTTTGTAAGCGACATACTTTCAGTAAATTATTAACATAGACTAATAAACCCCCTACCGCAAAGTTTCTGTCTTGTCGAAAGGGTTCATGAAAAGCGGCTATATGTAATTCGTCAGTAGACACTTTGTCGTCCAAGTGTGTCTCAGTCAGGCATATAATGTGCTACTCACAAGCTATATCCTCTATATAATCTAACTTATTGCGAAAAAAGTTCCCCAAGTGCCGGGCCGGGATTGGATTCAACATCCATGTGCTGAAGCAGAAGTATAATAAAAGTAGCATAAAATCAAAGTTCCGAAAATTGATTAACATAACGTGATTTAATAGTGTGATCAAATTATTGAACCCGCCATGTAGTAATAGTATGAAACGAAATATTGAACCTATTTGCAACGTGTAAAAAATAAATGATTTCACAAAAAAATTGCCGTAGACCTTGGAATAGAACATTCCTATCGCCATTCTGTGACCCATGTAGTCATCACCCATTGTCCTCGAGGTCACAGAATGGCGAACAAATTTAGCACCAGAACATCGTGCAATCCAGCAACACATGAAATATATAAATAGTTTATATATACAATCGCTATAATACAGATAAAACAAAGTAACAAACACTTTGCATACATATTTGATTCAAAGTCAAAAAAACAAAAAACAAAAACCAAAAAAAACAGTGGCTTTGATTTTTAAAAAATGACTTTGAATTTTCTTTTAGCTTATATAAAATAGACATTTTATATGATATTTATACAGAGCAAAAACCTGACTTTCATTGAAGCTTTAAAGTGGAAACCATTGAACGGAATAGTACTTCCTACAAAACATAGATTACGCAAAAATAGGTTGAACTTATTACCAGATGTTAAACTTTTTGAAATTACACTTGTGACAACCAGGTCTCAATCCACAATTTGTTATTTTAAAAGCTGACGTTTAAGATTAAATTACTGTACAGTTTTTATAATGAGTATGCTTAACGACGACAGAATTGTACAGTACTTATTACTTGAACATAAATATTGAGCAGTGTTGACATTTCATAATTTCGTAGACAATAACGTCGACATATGATAATGCATCACGTGCACTTTCTGACAAATGAATCTGTACTTAACGACGACCATTGTATCTGTACTTAACGACGACAGAAAGATATTGATTAGTGCTGACATTTCATACTGTTGTAGACAATAACGCCGACATGTGATAATGCATCAATAGTTGACAAATGTATGAGAACTTAACCACGATAGAATGACACAGTTCTTATAACTTGAAAATAAATGTTGAGAAGTGTTGACATTTCATAAATGTGTAGACAAAAACGCCGACATATATGATAATGTAGTTTTTCCATACAAACATGCCTTTTGATTTTGATCCGGATGTAAAGGTGGTGCGGTGCGCTTGGCCAGGTTAATGTATCGTTGACTAGGAAGCTCAAATGGTTTGAGCAACAGGGGAACAGGAATCATTTAACCCTTTCACCCCTAGGTAACTTTAGTAGACTCTACCGTGCATTTATGGGGATGAGTCCATTATGGTCTACGGTGGTGAAAAGGTTCGATGGTGGTATTATTAATCGAATAGGACGTATATGTAAACTACTGTTTATAAAGTCCATCTGTCTATAGAGATGACTTGCAGAAAGGTTTGGTCATTTAGTTAACCCTGGTGAAAACCTACAACCTTTAATTCAGGCTACCTGGTATTCATATGGCGTTTGGTTCCGACTGTCTTGAGGGTCATACGACGTTCGGGTCTGACTATCTGATGGTCAATGTGACTTTTAATTCCGACAACCTCAAGGTTCATACAACGTTCGGTTCTGACTATCTAGAGGTTAATGTGGCTTTTAATTCCGACTACCTCAAGGTTCATACGGCGTTTGGTTCCGACTATCTTGAGGGTCATACGACGTTCGGGTCTGACTATCTGATGGTCAATGTGGCTTTTAATTCCGACTACCTCAAGGTTCATACAACGTTCGGTTCTGACTATCTAGAGGTCAATATGACTTTTAATTCCGACTACCTCAAGGTTCATAAAACGTTCGGTTCTGACTATCTGATGGCCAATATGGCCTTTATTTCCGACTACCTCAAGGTTCATACAGCATTCGGTTCTGACTATCTAGAGGTTAATATGACTTTTAATTCCGACTACCTCAAGGTTCGGTCAACGTTTGGTTCTGACTATCTAGAGGTTAATATGGCTTTTAATTCCGACTACCTCTAGGTTCATAAAACGTTCGGTTCCGACTATCTAGAGATCAATATGGCTTAAAATTTTGACTATCTCTAGGTTCATAAAACGTTCGGTTCTGACTATCTAGAGGTCAATATGGCTTTTAATTCCGACTACATCAAGGTTCATATAACGTTCGGTTCTGACTATCTGATGGTCAATATGGCTTTTAATTCCGACTTCCTCAAGGTTCATACAACGTTCGGTTCTGACTATCTAGAGGTCAATATGGCTTTTAATTCCGACTACCTCTAGGTTCATAAAACGTTCGGTTCTGACTATCTGATGGTCAGCATGGCTTTCAATTCCGACTACCTCAAGGTTCATACAACGTTCGGTTCTGACTATCTAGAGGTCAGTATGGCTTTTAATTCCGACTACCTCAAGGTTCATACGGCGTTTGGGTCCGACTATCTTGAGGGTCATACGACGTTCGGTTCCGACTATCTAGAGGTCAATATGACTTTTAATTCCGACTACCTCAAGGTTCATACGACGTTCGGTTCCGATTATCTAGAGGTCAATATGGCTTTTAATTCCGACTACCTCTAGGTTCATAAAACGTTCGGGTCTGACTATCTGATGGTCAACATGGCTTTTAATTCCGACTACCTCAAGGTTCATAAAACGTTCGGTTCTGACTATCTAGAGGTCAATGTGGCTTTTAATTCCGACTACCTCAAGGTTCATACGACGTTCGGTTCTGACTATCTAGAGGTCAGTGTGGCTTTTAATTCCGACTACCTCAAGGTTCATACAACGTTCGGTTCCGACTATCTAGAGGTCAATATGGCTTTTAATTCCGACTACCTCAAGGTTCATACGACGTTCGTGTAATAGGGTGATTTTAATACCGCGTTAGTTCTGCTGTTTCGGTATAAATAGAGTTGCGCGAAACCGCACCTTGGCGTCGTAGACAAGAAGCCACTAATGTTATATATACCTGTGTATGTATGTCCAATTTACCTGTGTGACGTCATTGATGTATGTGTTCATATATTGTGTCGTTTTGGTTGTGGTCAGTTTTGTTCGTGTTTGGCGGGAGTTAAATAGAGGCAGCCATTGCCGACAGGCGGACAGATGACTTTGTCGTTTTGGTACAGATTTTAGGTAGGTTCTTACATAAGTATGTACGTGCAATTAAAGCACTTCTATTGTAAGCAATTTCGTATGAATCATTTATAATTGTATGTTAACAACGTTTATATATCTAAATATATAAAGTCCACTATTTGATCACGAATACGTAATGTTTTATGAATAAATTCAGTTGTCTTTATAATTCATGTATCGTAAGGTGATCTATAATATATCGCATTGCTTTATTAGTTGTTTATTATATTTTCAGTTGATACATTGTCCTGGTAGTCCAGACGAAAGTCTTACTAAGACCCTTGACCCATTGTCAGGGTAGGTGTCAGATACTCATGTATTGATTGCTAAGTATATGTAAATGTTGTATGTATAAGTAATAAGTATTTATCATTAACTATTTATATACATCAAGTAACATCATAACAGCATATCGCTGTAATGATTTGTATGTCCAGATATTGCATATCATGGTTCATAGTAAATATATTTATGTAATGTATGTGAACTCTCATTTAAGTTGATATGCAATCGTGATAAATATATCAAATAGTAATGTACAACTGCCTGTGAGATTAGATAATTGTATATTTTATTCCTTTACATTGTAGGGTCTTTTGAATGACAAAGCTTTGTAAGCAAACACCATAATGCGCGCTAGCGGGTGATTTAAGTATATCAATAGAAATCTGAGCTGAAAGTTAGATTTGAAATTGTTTCGATGTTTCCCCGGGACAAATTTCGCGCATGGATAAATTCAGTGAACACTGTGAATCCGACCTTGCACTCCACGAGGGAGTTTTTTGGGATGTTGAATGTTCGAATTTGTGAAGGACCAGGCGTGAATTCATTTGTTGATTGTATGGGAACCTGACTACAGCCTCGTTATTTGACATGTCGTTAGAAACTGAGGAAACAGTGGCTGAGAGACGCGTGATACTGATACCGTTTGAAGCGAGTGATCTTGCGACGGAGCACAGGCAGGGGTTCGTTACAAATGTCTGAAATACATTTATGCCTTGGTTATGTTTATGTGTGCTACTCATATCAGTATGTGTATTTCAGACATTTGTAACGAACCCCTGTTGACCAGTGCAGTGTAACAGACGATATTTCTGATAAATTGCATGCCGGAGTGTTAAAGTTGTTTCCATTGCCGACATTGATGATTTCAACCTGTGTGCATTTTGTACGATATCGCAGACCTTATTCTTGTTTTTGTTGTAATAAAAATATTTTTTTTAATATTGTCTTTTTTTTGTCACATTTACAAGTCTCACAATGCCCAGCGATATTTCAGCTGCCGTCATGTTTATTTACATTGGATATTGTAGTTCCGGTCAGTGTTGTATTAATACGCTAATAATTATGTGTCTTGGTGCATGGTATTTAAAGTCCCATCAACGACACAGCTTTCAAATAGTCTATATATAGTGACAATGCCATGCATATGTAAATATTACAAAATTTAATTCTGACTACCCCGAGGTTCATACGGCGTTCGGTTCCGACTCTCGAATTTAATACTGATTTTAATTCCGACTATCTCGAGGACCACATGGCGTTCAGTTCCGACTACATATTATATGTATCTTGAGGTCAACATGGCCTTTGAACTATCTGGACCTATGTTGAGTTGAGCTGGGTACTGAGGTCCACAACCAAACTGTCACAGTCTAACCACTGAATTAAGCTCATCAATTTTTGAGAATGTGAACAGAATATTCGACGGATTTTCAAATAAACAAATATGTTGTATGAAGAGAAAAACTATATTTAATACCAATGTTTATATACAAGTATGACTCATGGTAAAACTAGAGGCCCAATGGGCCTGCATCGCTCACTCATCGCTGTGATCTTAAAACAGGGTCAAGGTCAAACTCATTTTAAAGAGGTGATTTTCATTTTCAATATCATTCATTCATATTCCTTTAACACCATTAAGCTACAAGCAAATAATCATGAATCTCTGTCTCTTTAAAATTGAACACGTTTTTTGTTCATTGATATAAAATTGAGTCGAAGATCTTGCATTGATTTTTTTTTTATAAATAATTAATAACCCTTCATCTGAACAAAATACTGACCAAATATCATCACCCTGTGCATCTTGGGTATTGAAAACCCCTTTCAGGTGTCCAACAGCAAAGGACCTTGAAAGGTTGAACTAACTTGATAGCAATTTATCCCATCATGCAACCGGTTAATTCACCCAAGGCTTCATGGTTATTTTAAGGTTTAAACTCATTGAACCACTGTGACCATTAATATAGGTCAAGGTCATTCATTTGAACAACTTATCCAATGAAATTATCATCAAAACATAATGTGTTTTTTTGACATCTTTGATCCCTATGACCTTGAAAGATCAAGGCGATTTTTTCCCCACAAAATCTGTCCAGCTTCATCCATATATTATGACACTAGGCCTGCAAGTTCTTTTTTTTACATGTTTGAATGGAAGTATTGTAAATTTAATTTGATTTAGCAAATTTGTTGGTCTGCTACCAGCCAAATATCAAGGCCCTAGGTATTTTTGTTCTTCAGAAGTTAAATGAAGATTTGTTTTACATATGTCGTCCCTATGACCTTCACAGTAGACTTGTTTTTTGGTTGCTAACGTTGGATCCATTCCAAGGAACTAGTCCAATATAAAGACTTCCAACCTTTTGCTTTGGAAATATTTGTTTGATCTTTTTAACTAATTGGCCGTGACCTTGAACGTGGATCAAAATCACTTTTTATTGCAAACTTTGTTGGGATCCATCCCAGCAAAATATCATGACCCTAAGCCTTTCGATTCTTCATAGTAAGACGTATCAAGGAAAAGTGAACAATGACAGACACAGCACCATTCAACTCATTTATCCCCGTATATTCATTATGAACTATTCCAACCTCTTAACTGGAAGAGTTCAAATGTGTCTTCAGGGGTGAATGAGCTAACAAGAATTAAGGTATCTGGTTCATTACCTCCAGAAACCAAATTAAGGTACATGCTAATGCTCACTGTTGCTTCTCCAATGAGAAAGAGCTCCAGTGTTCAGTATTTTTATTGCGCTAAGTTTCTGGCCAATTTGATACAGAAACCATTATAATAATACTTAGCAATACATTTGCTATTACTTCCCTTTTTTAACATCCCTGCTGCAGGATTCAGAGCCACAACATGTTGATAATAAAGCAGTTAGCTTATCTCCTCCTTATACAGCTCATATCTAGCTTTTCGTGCTAGCTAAAGTACCAACCAATTAATTAGATTAAATGACAATAAAAACTGTCTCGATTCTAACACTGATATTTTAATAGAAAGGATCCATAGAAATTTACAAAAATATTACATTCACTCCCATACATACAGTAGTCACGGTAACCTAGTGCTCCACTTTGCATAGACATTGGATTTGGGTTGAATGAGATCATGACATGAATGAGATCTAGTTGTCTACAGCAAGTGATCAGGCCAAATACTGAAACATTATCTTTTTTTTTTTTTTGTCAATTATTTTTTCAAAACAATTTGTTTTCGAATGAGGACACAGTACACTTCTATAAAATATTTTGTTTTGTTTTAACAACCTACATTCCCCTACACAAGGAACCTCCTGCACGATTTTGGAACAAGACTGGTATTCCAGATTATGACGTGAAGACTAATGAGGTTCCAGTGTAAACATCAGAGACAACCAAAACTAACCTTGTGTATTTTTGTTAAAAGTTTATTTTATATTTATTTACCATCCTTAGGAGTACAAAAGGCAGGTTTCACATAATTATTGTTGACAACAGAAGTACATATAAGTACCATCAATATGTGCAGGGCCATTCTTCATCAGTTTAACCAATCACAAAGATAGTCCTACTTATTAACCAATCAGAAGTCATTCTGAACTTGAACTGAAACTGAATCTTGAACACAAGTACCTGATAAACTACAATTTGCTCATGAAAGTTAAAAAAGCCCCTACAAGAATCTCTTTTGAACAAACTATAAACGATCCTGTGAGAAATGTTTCCAGGTCTTCAGCAAACATGTCTATAGTTGACTTAGTACAGACAAGTGCAATTATGTTAGTCTGCATGTCAATGAATAAAATAAAATTCCGAAAAATAACTTCCAGAACTTGAATATATATATATATAAAAAGTTCACTTCATTTAAATGTCAAAACTGTAAAATGCAATTTAATAAATTTCAAAATCTGTACTACCAAAAATCCCAGCATTGTTTTATTTTTTTAGAGAAGTAGGTTAAACTCCGACAGTAAAGCTGCAGTAGTCTGTCTGGAGAAGTTCGCTGTCTGTCTTTGCTGCCGTTTTTCCTAACACATGGTATGCTGAACTGACATGTACAAATGTGAAGTCCACCAAGAAAGGCTCCAAGCTTAATTCTAAATTAATGACAGATTTCTTCTTTTCTTATTTTTGTATAAATATGTCCCTGTTAAAGTGGAATTTACACACTGAAAAGTCTTATAACCAAGTATGAACATTGTTAAACCAATACAACGCTTGTGATAAACTTCCAAAATACACAGGACAATGATGAACGTCAATCATAAGACAATATTACATATATTTGTTATTAATAACTTGATCAAAGAGGACAACTTTGTTGGTCGAAGACCACACTACCTTACAAATTAAGATGTTTACAAATTGTACATAAACCACAAAATCCATTGATTAACGACACAGAAAACAAACCAATACCATGTCATGGCCTCGATCCATTTGTATTGATACCTACTGGGACACAAAATCTACCTGGACAAAATTTGCATTGATCACCGTTTCCTGACCAATAGAATAAATTAGTTCTTGAAATGTACAACATTAAGATCTAATGTGTAGCGGTAACATTTTTACAACATGTAAATCTGAACTTTGAAATTCATTGGATGGACTGGTTACAATGTTATTCTACAAACCAATGTAACACATGAAATTTGCATTAAATGAAAATGAAAATATATTTTTAAAACATCCAAAACATTATCAGATGAAATGCAAACCATTGGTAACATATATACATGTCATGTCACGGACAATAACTGAATCTGAATACTGTGCTGTGTCTGCTAAAGATAGGTCCTCAACCAACTTTCAAATGTACAAAATTTATATAGCAATTTATCTTGGAGAAAAAAAAAATCCGAAAATTATCCTACTAATTTGACTAATAAACTCGATATTTAGTGTAATTGTAATCTGGCCTGTACTTACTTCAACCCTGAGCAATGTCAACATTAGGCAAAATAATTTCACTTTGCAGAGCACAAATCTCTTTATTACATGCATTCAGACTGAGTCTTACAGTAATCGACGCCAACTCCGTACAAAATGACAGCTTTTTGTTTTTCAAGGGAGATAACTGAAGGCTTGGACAAACAGGGGATTTTACAGATTAAATATTGTGCCAGGTACGTGGGAACTACATCATTGGGTGATTGTCACAGTTCACGACTAGTCTTCATCTTCCTCAGATTCTGAAAAACAAACAAAGGTTAGGTCAATTCTGGGCAACCAACTGGACCTCACTGTAAATATGACATACAGCATCTCACATTCATAAATGGCCTGCTGGACTTCACAGTAGAGTTAAACTGTTGCCAATACAATTGTATAAGAGCAGAGAATAGTGTGCTTTCACCGGGGACGGACCCCGCCATCCCAGACTTCCTATTCTCTTACCCTGGACAGGTGTATCCGCACTTTTCCTTGTCTCACCCTAGGGTTGAGACAAGCTACACATGCTCTTTGCACGTATTCCACAATAAACCTGACACGGAAAAAGAATTACTTTTATGTGGTCACACACATACACAAGTTCGTCTGCCAATCTTGCCGTGTTTACATTTGACATCAAAGAAGATTGGATTGATTTTAAAATGTTTAAAATATGATGCGTGAACCGTCCGACATATACATATAATATTAATACGCTATTCGCGTGTTCCTGTTTGCAAATAAAATGCTTTGTCTTACACTTGGACAGGAACAACAGGGTAAGAGAAAAATAATCATTCACCCCCTCGGGGATGAGATAGGGGGATCTCAACCCTCGAGGGGAAGATTCTTAAGTTGCCAAACACTCCGCAAAGCCTCGTGTTTGGCAAATTAAGAATCGTTCCCCCTCGGGTTGAGATCCCCATATCTCACCCCCAAGGGGATGAAAGATTTTATTAGTCTCACCGGGGACGGAACCCGCCATCCCAGGCTTCCTAGTCGGACACTTTACCCCTGCTCTGAAGAGAATTTCCCTATAGTGTGAAGCTAGAAGGAGACCAAATCCTATGTACAATCAAAATCTGCCACACAAACTATATAGCGTATATCAGTTTTTAGGTTCGATGTTTGAGGAGAATAATATTCTTTTGGGATTACTCATTATATACTGTATGTCCTTTTTTATTATATGTATGCTGTTACAGAAGCTTATAATACAGAGGTATTTATCACCACAGTTATATGGAGGCCCCAGAAACATGAATTTTTATAGGAGGCCTGAAATTAAGGAAGCACTCAACCCCAAAGTCATATGGAGTCTTAGAGGGACACCATTCATTTACCGGAATTCTAACCCACACTTATGTCATTAAAACATCAATGATTTCATTAGCCTGCGACAGTATACATATTTGAGTTCCTACCTTCCTCTGCATTCTCCAGCCATTCAACAAACTTGGACATTTGTTCCAGGAAGACTGATTTTCCCTTGGTGGAGTGGGCCTCCTTGTACCACTTCAGGATCACATCCTCACTCAACACATCCACTGCAGATTAAAAACCAGAACACTTAAAATACAGGCATTATAATCCTATAACAATTAATTATAATGCAAGTTTCATACATAATATCAAATTAATAATCAATTCTTGCATTATATTAAATACTTGTTCATATCAAATACCTGTTTCATACAAAATACAATCAAACTTCCATGTTTAAAACTTTGCGGGACTATCCGGAAAAAAATTGAATCATCTAGATTTCGACTCAAGAATGTTGAACTTTGGATGTTTGAGATCCTGTATAAACCTCATAACACTGAATGTAATTGTTCAGTGACTGAACACAAGGCACGAAATGTAAATTGAAGTTGGATATAATGTATTTAGAAAAATATGTTAAACTGCATTGTAGTTTCCATGTTTAGGTGCTAAAATGACCCAAATATTTTAAATTTTCTCGAACAATTTATCATTTCACTTCAATACATTAGTTGGAAATTTTAATGTTTCCCAACGATCAGACCTTATTTAAAGTTAGAAACAGCCAAAAAATGGACTTTGCCATAAGTTTTGACACAACAACTTCAAATCTTCAACACGTCTGGCTTTATAAAAACAAATACTTGGGGTCTTTGAGCAAGTCCTCTCCAACAAACTTAAGTTTCTGCCCCTACATCAATAGTGTACTCGAGTGAAAACTTCACAAAATTTGAATTGTAGAAATCAAGCTGCACCTTATTAGCAGGGTAAGGCCTTGACTTACTTTTGTACAAGATGACAACAATCTTCTGGAACACCTTCATGAAGGCCATGTTGTCGTAGCAGTACTCCTGGATTTTCACCAACAGTGCCAACTCTGACTTGGGCGTCTTGGCAATGAAGGATAGAAGCTGTCCGTAGGATTTGAGGTGACGCAGGGCTTGTTCAGCCACCAGCTCTTCCTTCTTGTTCCATTCTACACATCCCATGATTGTGTTCCAGACCTGTCACCAATTACAACTTTATTATCAGGTTCAATTATTTCGAAACAAACTGTTTAAATGGGCTCCCTGATAACAATTACCTGTAACAGGATGTCATCATCGACAACTTAACAATCATTGGGTTCATGCCCAAATTAGTTTTGTTCTGGTGGAATGTTAAAATGGAAGAATCATCAATGATTTGACTGTGCTGGATTGATCAGTTTATTGGACAACAATATAGGTATCAAGCCTTTCTGATGCGATTCATACAATAATACATTTTCTTTGCGCAGAGACTAATATAGGGTTTCTCATCATTGCAGCATTTAATCAGTGTCATGATTTAACATGGTAAAAACTCTTCCTGATTGTCAATTCAAAGTTTGTGCTTGGAACATTATACAAGGCTTTGATCATGGTCAAGCCCCACTTGTACCTAACACCTGAAGTCTGGAGATTTCCTTCAACATTTCCAACTGATTAAGCATCACCTGAGATTTTCCTCAATTTCACTGATGGTTATAAGTGCATGGTACCGGGACATTTTTGGCCAGTTAATTTCCACACAATAATAACTTCGCCTTTCACAGTTAATTACTATGTATACGATGTTGTGTACAAATGTTTGCTGTTATGATAATTATTATGGAGGATGAAAAAGGTGAAAATTAATTTGCAGAAAAAATATCCCAGTTTACAGTGTTGCAGTAAAACATTAACACAAACATCCTGCCGAAGATGATGAGCACCCACACACTGAAAACTTTCCAAGGAGAACACTAGACATCAATACAGTATAAATTTCAAAAACAGAATTGTATGCCTTTATTAATCCTAAATATGTACTAGCATGACTCGACTACTGTAAGTCACTGAATTCCACAATTATGTCCATTTCGTTTTACAGTAAACATCACAGACCAGGCATGTACTTACTAGGATAACAGTTTCTTGTTCACCTAGGCCATTTTTCTGCATCTGTTCCAGTAGGTAAGCTTTCATCTACAAAAAAAACCCGTCATAGTTACTAAACATCCAGTAAACGCTGGAGATTTGTGCTAGATGATAGTCTACTAAGCCTGGGGACATTTGTATCTGTTCATTGCTCTTCTGACTGCTGTTTCCTGCCTTGGTTCCATTTGACGACTCATTTGTCCATATAACTGTTAAACCCCCAACAGTGTGATTACAGTAGAGCACGTTTACCTCCGATACTTCACCCTAATTACTCTTTATGGATCCCTGTCCCACTGCTCTGTGGGTTTTTATATATACAGTAACCTCCCCTTAATTTCTATTTGGATATAACTGTAGCACTGTAGACAGTTATGTTGACCAGGTAGCACAGTTGGTTAGAGCAATGGTACACAGATCTGAAGTCCAGGTATAAAACCCTGGTCCGGGGCAGCTTATCATTTTACATTCAGAACACTGTTGTTGATTTGATTCCATCTTTTTTATCAACTTTTCATCAAGTCATGCAAAGTATAGTTTTCTTTACAGAAAAGAAATGCTTGTGCTGCCTGTATGTGTTTTTGGCAGTGGTACGGGGATCCTTGTGCTGCCTGTATGTGTTTTTGGCAGTGGTATGGGGATCCTTGTGCTGCCTTTATGTGTTTTTGTGGCATGTATCTTGATACAACATTTGTGCGGGGGGGTCTTAATATGGGAGTACTCTGAGAAAACCCACTTGATCGGGCAGATGAGCCCCATACCTTTTCACGTCCAGTTGGGTAATCTAACCCTGATCGCCTTTGAAAGGCATGTGCGCTATCCACTGCGCCACCCGACCACCTGAAATTGAGCTTCAGTGCTGAATCCTAATACATCTATATGCAAGACCACACACTTGTGTTTTTCTAACGAATCAGAAAGCACAAGTTTATTGCGCGGACGAATATATATTCAAGAGTGCGCTCCCCGAGCACAAGTGAATATATATGTTCACGCAATAAATGAGTGCTTTCTGATTCATTAGAAAAACACAAGTGTGTGGTCTTGCTTTTATCACATACCTTTCATATTTGGTAGAGATCGATACCAAGATTTTATAAACTTTGATATTTTTTTGCAAATACCGAGAACTTTTCAATTCACCATGACAAGGGGGTTCCCATAAAAAGTAGTTCCGGCTAGTAGGTAAATACAACATTCCGTATTGCACATGTGCAATACAGAACGTTGTATTTCCTGGTCTGAAAATTGCTTGTATTACTATAACAGGTTCAACAGGTATGTGATAAATTAACATACCTCATTAGGAGATGCTGAATCCTAATACATCTATTAACATACCTCATTAGGAGATTCTGAATCCTAAAACATCTATTAACACACCTCATTAGGAGATTCTGAATCCTAATACATCTATTAACACACCTCATTAGGAGATTCTGAATCCTAAAACATCTATTAACACACCTCATTAGGAGATTCTGAATCCTAATACATCTATTAACACACCTCATTAGGAGATTCTGAATCCTAAAACATCTATTAACACACCTCATTAGGAGATTCTGAATCCTAATACATCTATTAACACACCTCATTAGGAGATTCTGAATCCTAAAACATCTATTAACACACCTCATTAGGAGATTCTGAATCCTAATACATCTATTAACACACCTCATTAGGAGATTCTGAATCCTAAAACATCTATTAACACACCACATTAGGAGATGCTGAATCCTAATACATCTATTAACACACCTCATTAGGAGATGCTGAATCCTATTACATCTATTAACATACCTCATTAGGAGATGCTAAATCCTTAAACATCTATTAACACACCTCCTTAGGAGATGCTGAATCCTAATACATCTATTAGCCTACCTCATTAGGAGATGCTGAATCCTAATACATCTATTAACATACCTCATTAGGAGATTCTGAACCCTAATACATCTATTAACATACCCCATTAGGAGATGCTGAATCCTATTACATCTATTAACATACCTCATTAGGAGATGCTAAATCCTAATACATCTATTAACATACCTCATTAGGAGATGCTGAATCCTAAAACATCTATTAACCTACCTCATTAGAAGATGCTGAATCCTAATACATCTATTAACATACCTCATTGGGAGATGCTGAATCCTAATACATCTATTAACATACCTCATTAGGAGATGCTAAATCCTAAAACATCTATTAACACACCTCATTAGGAGATGCTGAATCCCAATAAGATGCTGAATCCTAATACATCTATTAACATACCTAATTAGGAGATGCTGAATCCTAATACATCTATTAACACGCCTCATTAGGAGATACTGAATCCTAATACATCTATTAACACTCCTCATTAGGAGATACTGAATCCCAATACATCTATTACCCTACCTCATTAGGAGATGCTGAATCCTAGTACATCTATTAACACACCTCATTAGGAGATGCTGCATCCTAATACATCTATTAACATACCTCATTGGGAGATGCTTAATCCTAATACATCTATTAACACACCTCATTAGGAGATACTGAATCCTAATACATCTATTTACACACCTCATTAGGAGATGGTGAATCCTATTACATTTATTAACACACCTCATTAGGAGATGGTGAATCCTATTACATTTATTAACATACCTCATTAGGAGATTCTTCAGACTTCACCATCTCTCCGAGTTCTTTCTGCAAAAGTTTCCTGTTTTCCTGATTTTTCTGAGCTCTCTGTAATGATGGATTCATTTATAAGAGTAAATATTTGTTCTTTTCCTGACAAAACAAACAAGAGGCCCAAGAGGGCCTGTATCGCTCACCTGAATATTTAAGCAGTCATAGCAAAATATTCTCATTAAATATTATATTGCACTAAAAATATTTCCCTCACAAACTTTGTTGGCTCCATCTGTTGAAACTACCAGCAAAATATTATTACAAGATTCTATGCTTTTTGATTCTTCAGAAGTTGCTTGACATATTTTTCCCTGTGACCTTGTAAGTAGGTCAATGTCATTTTCCTTCTCAAATTGGTTAGCCCTATTCCAAAAGCTACCAGCCAAATCTTATGAATCCATTCCTTTTGGTTCTTCTATACCTTTCATTTGTTTAAAAGAAGTCGTTTGAAGTATCTGACACATTTGACCCCTGTGACCTTGAAAGGAGGTCAAGGTCATTTGCTTCCTTAAACTTTGTCGGGCTCTATCCCAGGAAGCCATCAATCAAATATAAAGATTCTATACCTCTCAGTTCTTCAGAAGAATTAATTTGAAGCTTTTGACCCCTGTGACCTTGAAAGTAGAACAAGGTAATTTTCATTCTCAAACTTTGTTGGGCTCCATCCCAGGAACCAATCAGCCAAATATGAAGATTCTATACCTTTTAGTTCTTCAGAAGAAGTCGTTTGGAGTTTTTGACATATTTGACCCCTGTGACCTTGAAAGTAGGTCAAACTAATTTTCTTCCTCAAACTTTGTTGGGCTCTATCCCAGGAAGCCACCAGCCAAATATAAAGATTCTATACCTTTCAGTTCTTCAGCAGAAGATGTTTGAAGTGTTTGACACATTTGACCCCTGTGACCTTGAAAGTAGGTCAAAGTCATTTTCATTCTCAAACTTTGTTAAGCTCCATCCCAGGAAGCCATCAGCCAAATATGAAGATTCTATACCTTTTAGTTCTTCAGAAGAAATATTGAAGTTTTTGACATATTTGACCCCTGTAACCTTTAAAGTAGGTCAAGGTCATTTTCGTTCTCAAACTTTGTAGGGCTCCTACCAACAAAACTTTCAGCCAAATATCATAACTCTAGTCCTATCCGTTCTTCAGAAGAAGTTGTTTAAAGGAAAAGTTGACGGAGGAGGACGGGGGGACGGACGGACGGACGGACGACGGACGCCGCACCACGACATAAACTCACTTGCCCTTCGGGCAGGTGAGCTAAAAATGTATAAGACGAAAGACACTCATAAGAGTATATATATTTGTTGTTCATCAGAAAAAATTATCATTGTATACAATAAAACACACTTATGACAGAATATTTGAAAGTTTAAGATATTTTCCAGTGATAAATTTATCAGCGTAATGAACCGAGTAAAGAATTTTTAAAAGAATTCTTCAAAATGCATTGTAGAAGCTAAATTAAATTGGATAGATAGAATGTGTACTCCTTAAAAAAACGACTTGATAACTTAAACATGAAGATTTACCAATGAAATGGTATTGAAATAGCTAAGTGTTTTAAATGGATGCCAAGACTGTGTTCAATACTTATAACAACATCCAGCACTCTCAAATCTTACCAGAATGTCCGCCATCAGAGGCAAGTTCTCTTTCTCAAAGTGTGCCACAAATGCATCGTAGCTTCTCTTGTTCATTGGGTACAGCTCCTGTTAACACAAGTAATATGTTAGTGATAGCATACTGTTCATTGGGTACAGCTAAGACAAGTAATATGTTAGTGATAACATGCTGTTCATGTGGTACAGCTAACACAAGTAATATGTTAGTGATAGCATACTCCACAAATGCATCGTAGCTTCTCTTGTTCATTGGGTACAGCTCCTGTTAAGACAAGTAATATGTTAGTGATAGCATACTGTTTATTGGGTACAGATAACACAAGTAATATGGTAGTGATAGCATACTGTTCATTGGGTACAGCTCCTGTTAACACAAGGAATATGTTAGTGATAGCATACTGTTCATTGGGAACAGCTAACACAAGTAATATGTTAGTGATAACATGCTGTTCATGGGGTACAGCTAACACAGGTAATATGTTAGTGATAGCATACTGTTCATGGAGTACAGCTAACACAAGTAATATGTTAGTTATAGCATACTGTTTATTGGGTACAGCTAACAAAAGTAATATGTTAGTGATAGCATACTGTTCATTGGGAACAGCTAACACAAGTAATATGTTAGTGATAACATGCTGTTCATGGGGTACAGCTAAGACAAGTAATATGTTAGTGATAACATGCTGTTCATGGGGTACAGCTAAGACAAGTAATATGTTAGTGATAACATGCTGTTCATGGGGTACAGCTAACACAGGTAATATGTTAGTGATAGCATACTGTTCATGGAGTACAGCTAACACAAGTAATATGTTAGCGATAACATACTGTTCATGGGGTCTGTATGCTGCAAATGCATCGTAGCTTCTCTTGTTCATTGGGTACAGCTCCTGTTAAGACAAGTAATATGTTAGTGATAGCATACTGTTCATCGGGTACAGCTCCTGTTAACACAAGTAATATGTTAGTGATAGCATACTGTTCATCGGGTACAGCTCCTGTTAACACAAGTAATATGTTAGCGATAGCATACTGTTCATGGAGTACAGCTAACACAAGTAATATGTTAGTTATAGCATACTGTTTATTGGGTACAGCTAACAAAAGTAATATGTTAGTGATAGCATACTGTTCATTGTGTACAGCTAACCCAAGTAATATGTTAGTGATAACATACTGTTCATTGGGTACAGTTAACACAAGTAATATGTTAGTGATAGCATACTTTTCATTGGGTACAGCTCCTGTTAACACAAGTAATATGTAAGTGATAGCATACTGTTCATTGGGTACAGCTAAGACAAGTAATATGTTAGTGGTAGCATACTGTTCATGGAGTACAGCTAACACAAGTAATATGTTAGTTATAGCATACTGTTTATTGGGTACAGCTAACAAAAGTAATATGTTAGTGATAGCATACTGTTCATTGGGTACAGCTAAGACAAGTAATATGTTAGTGGTAGCATACTGTTCATGGAGTACAGCTAACACAAGTAATATGTTAGTGATAGCATACTGTTCATTGGGAACAGCTAACACAAGTAATATGTTAGTGATAACATGCTGTTCATGTGGTACAGCTAACACAAGTAATATGTTAGTGATAGCATACTGTTCATGGAGTACAGCTAACACAAGTAATATGTTAGTGATAACATACTGTTCATGGGGTCTGTATGCTGTCTGTTTACTGATTTACTCTAATTTCATTTTGAGTAAGTACCTCTCCAACAGTATTTCAATAATGATTTTCTCCTAGATACAGTGTTATTTCGCTTAAACTTTACATTCCCACAGAATCTACAGGATAGTCTCTGAAATGATACTCACCAGCAACCTTAGGTCCATCTGTGATTTTTTCAGAGCGGTAAAGACCGCATTGATGTCTTTTTCCTCAAGCCATGTTCTGAACATCAAGGTGGAGAATTCCAATGATATTCCTGTTTAGGAAATAAGCAAACGTTTGTAAAATCAATTCTTTGACAAATAACTTGTCAGTATTTTGATATAAATTTACCTAAAAGGATATTTTCTAAAACACAAACATTGCACTTACACTATTTCCTAACAATGCATATGCAAGTCCAATCTGTAAAGTTCCTATATAAAGCCCACAACAAACGCTTGAAACTATATCAACTCCTTTTCAATAATCAAAGTGCCGAGGGCACTCAGGGATGCTGTGTATGAAGGATTCAAATAATGGAATAAAGAAGGTGGAATATCAGTACAGAATGACAGTAAACAATAAAGAACATGTTGTTGAGTAAGGGTCATAATAGCCCATCACTTAATCATAATTTTCAATAAAAAATATATATAACAAGCAGAGTATTGCTAAAACAATTGAAACTTGTCTGATATTATGGTCCTGAATTAGTGTTTCAACTCGATAGAAATCCTTCAAGGAATGAAGCTGCTACAGCTCAGACAATGATCTTTTTAAAAATAGTAAGTGACCTTGACCAGACAACCCTGCAAACCAAAATTGTCCTGTAAGATTATGGGCAAGTTTACGATTAAAAAAAAAAAAAGGTTATATAGATGATATAAATAAATAATTATATTATTATTACTATTTGTTATTATCATGATTAATTATACAAAAAATTAAAACGAGATTGTATTATTTCCAGTTCGTGTAATCAAGGACTTATACAAGTCCCTTGTGTATCTCTCCTTCTCCCGATATTGTAACGAAGGTTATAAAGACCTATATAATTATTCAGTTTCTGGTTAATGTGAATAATATGTATATACGGTTTTAATTTTTGATGTTCAATATGCTATATTCAAGAAGCACTTATATTATACTAATCGGGCCATTATCTAGAGACTGTATTGGGAAGCTATCTACAAACTCATTAGGCACAGCTGCTGTCGCATCGGGAAGCTATCTATGAACTCGTTAGGCACAGCTGCTGACGGCTACTTTAGTATGAGTCAACATTCTCTTTCACTTGGAGACTTTCCATTGAGACAAAGAAGACACGAAGCCTACTTTATCAAGGACAGTTATCAAACAGTCGTTCAACAAAGCGCGAGCATGAAACTACGCAATGATTGCCAAGGGGAGAAAACTCTTACACACTAAAGTAGAGTATTGTAATATGAGGCATAGTAATTTGAATCCAATATAGATCGGAACTTTCACCGATTAAAAACGCCACTGTTAAAGATCTTTATATATTTTCTTTGATTTTTGTGTCTTATACAGATATATTTTACCATATTATAGCATTGATCATATCATGAAATAATGAGCACATTATCTAAAGATCTTTTGCCGAAGGAGATTAAGTGTTGTTTGGTGTTTTTGTGAAGAAATAATTCGGTCCAAAAAGCGTAGTAATCTGAGATTGAAATAGATCATGATGTTCACTGAAAAAAAATCGCCTTTTACAAAAAATTTAACATTTTTTCTTTGATTTATTGATCGTTTTCATATGTATTTCATTATTTTATAGCATTAATCATACCATGAAATAATCAACACAGCATTTACAGATCTTCCACGAAAGAAGAAAGTCTGTTGTTTGGTTTTGATTTGCCCAGGTCTGGCGAGGACCGCTATGAATGCTGTTAACAGCATCCAAAAAATAATAGATCGCTAAAACATGATGCATCCAGCATCGGCATGGAGCACAACATAGGGATGTATCCTGTTCAAATGTTGTTTACATTGGAGGAGTGTCATCAGTACACGTACACCATATAATAGTTTCCTGTCAGGTTCATGGGATAGACCTGCTGTTTACCATTGTATCATCGTATAACCGTCAGCGACAACAACATCAGTGATACAATCTATCATGACATCAAGTGTTCAAAGGACATAACACATAAACGCAATCTCTAGGTTGAAGTAGCATCACATTAAATCTTACCTTCTTTAACCAAATTTTCTTCAAACAGTCCCTGTAAGCATTTCGGTGTACAGAATCCATTTGCCAAGATGATGCCAGTGATCTTAGCCAGTTTTGTCTTGTCTTCATTTTTGAATCCTCTTGTGAACATCAAAATCTGCCGAGGGAAATTAAAATTTGATGCAGTATTTAAACGTAACGGTAGACCCATGGAAAATCACTGTAGATCTAACGGAATAACTGACTCCATAGACCAAGTTGTCTAGGAGGAGATTACCTATGACGTGTGATGTTCAATAAATATAGAAGTGAGCAAAAAAGGGTTCTGCTTACTATTTCCCTTCATTGTTACACATAACTTTTACGTAAATATATATTATAAAAGTGAAAAATTCTTGGTCAGGGTAGGATAATCAAAATTTTGTAAACCTATTGTTTATGGTGTGTAAATCCTTATTTCTTGGACTGTTTATGGTGTGTAAATCCTTATTTCTTGGACTGTTTATGGTGTGTAAATCCTTATTTCTTGGACTGTTTATGGTGTGTAAATCCTTATTTCTTGGACTGTTTATGGTGTGTAAATCCTTATTTCTTGGACTGTTTATGGTGTGTAAATCCTTATTTCTTGGACTGTTTATGGTGTGTAAATCCTTATTTCTTGGACTGTTTATGGTGCATTTAATTATACAGACATCGTATCCTGGTGGTGTAAAAATGGGGATATTATCGCAGGATTCAGTTGTATTATAAACAGTTTTAGGACTGAACCTTCAATAGTTACACCTCAATTTAAAACATGTTCAACTCATTCACCCCTGAAATTTCATAATGAACTATTCCAACCTATGAATTGGAAGAGTTCAAATGTGCTTTCAGGGTTGAACGAGTTAATACAATTTGCAATATTTGCAGCAATCCTGTGAGAAAGCATGCTTTTTGTTATTACAATCTTTAAGAAAACATGTGATTGGAATTTCTCATGGCATGAAAACTCTCAAAATTTCTTAATGTGTTGAAACATTAGTGATTGTAGTACATATATTGATTTAAGTCTGTAACAATCTACCTGTTTTACTCTATAATACTACCTGGCAGACATCTGGCATTACGTGGATTAATTTTACAAAATAACAATAATTCCCTCCTACACCTTACTTGAACGAAACACTTTATTGGTGAGGATTGGAAAATGGCTTAATCCTGTACCAAAAATGTGTTCAAAGTTGAAAATAAAAATCTGACTCTAAACTGATTTTGATCGAGATAGAAATCTATACAAACAGATCTGAGACACTGGGGACAGTGAGCATATGCGCGCTTCAGTTGAAATAAATTTAAGTTCTTTCACAAACATTAGTTTTAAATTTAGGTATTTTTTCATATGCTGGGCCCTAACTACTGTTATAAACCAGGATTATGTTCCCTAAAATTCAGCAGCAAATAAAACCTCAACCCCAGGGTGAACTGTACCTACCTTCTTGAGAGTCTCCTCAAAGGATCTCTCCAGGTACTTGTACCTTCGGAGTAACTTGCTGAAAACCTACAACAAAGAAAAGTGAATTGTCATACACATGTTGACACAGTAAAATCTCCATAAAAATTGTCTACGAGTATGATAAATATCGCGATAAATATCGCAAGAACTAGTGGCACACCTGTATTGCTCCCCTGGTAAAATTGAATTATCTCAATAATTATTCTACGTGTACCAGAAATTTGAAGCTGACTTCAATCCTGATAAGTTAAATCTTATTTTTAGTCTAGGACATGGGAAACGAATGGTCCATAAAATAAAGTAGAAGTGTTTCACTGTCAAGCTTTAGATCTGAATAAGAATTAATTATTTAAGCAACAAACTTATCAGCCAACCACACTCAGTAATTGTGAAGGTATTGATATATTCAACATTGACCTACACATAATGGTACATACAGTCCTGCCTATTATGCACTTAGCTGTATGTTAATCTGGATGTTTGTTGTTTCCAATTCGAAGAACAAGAGGCAAAGAGGGCCTGTATCGCTCACCTGGATATCAAAAGTAATCATGGCAAAATATTCTCCAAATAAGATCCAAGGGATTGGGCCAGACCCCAAGGCCAATCCTTGTATCATATCTGAATTAAGCCTCAGCATGTCCAGCAATTTTATGTATGGTTATGGGGTGGGGATCTCAACTGTTTCCAAGATGTGATTCAGAAACTAGGTTCCTAGGGTTGTGGCCAGACCCCAGGATCAATTATAATATCATGACTGCATTCGTCTCTTTCTGCCCAACAATTGTATATGTAGTTTTGGGATAGGGATCTTAACCGTTTCAAAGTTATGACCCAGGGGTTAAGTCTCCAAGGGTGGGGCAGAACCTGGGGTTAATTCTTATATCATGACTGCATTCGTCTCTTTATGCCCAGCATTTGTATATATACAGTTTTGGGTAGGGGATCTCAACCGTTTCAAAGTTATGACCCAGGGACTATGTCTCTAAGGGTGGGGCCAGACCCATGAGTAATCCTGGAAGCATATGTGCATTCTACTCTTCATACTCAGCAATATCATATATGGTAATACTGGGCGGGGATGTCAACCATTTCCAAGCAATAAACTATTTTTTGCCCCACCCTTTAGCCAAGGGGGACTTGTACAATTTGAATCCCTGCCTGCCATGAATGTTTCCAACCAAATATGACTGACATCCAGTGCATAGTTCTACAGAAAAAGTAATTTATAGCAATATAGCCAAATTGCCCCCTTTTGGCCACGCCCCTAAGCCCCCTGGAGGTCAGCCCCACCATATGTAGATTTTTGAATCTCCACTACCTAGGGATGCATCCAGTCAAATATGGTTGATATCAATCTCTTAGTTCCAGAGAAGAGGAGTTGCTTAAAGCAATCTAGGCAAATGACCCATGATTTTGATTCCCACCACCTAGGGATGCTTCCAGTCAAATTTAGTTAATTCCAATCAGTGGTTAAGAAGAAGTCGTTTGAAGAAATTGTTGACGTACAGACGACACGGTATGGCATAAGAATGCTGAAATGAATAGTCAGGGGTATTGCCTGAACTTTGCCATTGTTATCAATAGTAATATATATTTAAATACATACATTGATAATGTAATGTTTGAAAAGGAAAAAGAAGTTTTGTAAACAAGGATGTCATATGAACATGATTTTCCTTATGTTTCACGATCCCTGTCCCACTACAATGCTTTTTCCTATAAACATTAACTTCCCCTTAACTTGCTTTTGGATAAAACTGCAGCACAATTGGGCTAGGCTACTTCCATTGACCAGGTAGCTCAACCGGTTAGAGATAGTAATATCAAAGTCCAGGGTTTGAATATTGACTGTTTTACATTCGAAGCACAGCTGTCGATTATACTGTATTGATTTCTTCCTTATTATCTCTCATGAAAGTCCTGCAAGATATGGTTATCTTTTCAGAAATCGTTTATCAAAGCTTTGGTCATGCCAGATAAAAATATCTTCCAACACAAAGTTTCAGTTAAGTATGGGAATCCTCAAAGTAAAACAATACTCGATGACATGCTTACTTCATAGAAGGCCTTGAGTGATTTGGTATCTTCGTCGCAACAGAAAACACAAACATTAGTTCGTGTAGCCTTGGTTGAATCCGGGTCTTTGTCTTCAATAATGGTTCCACCAGGTGCTGTGTAACACAAGGAGATTAGTGACCTGACATACACCTTAACGTTAGCTAAAACTTGGTATACTTAACCATTTTTCATTTCATAAAAGATTTATGAAACTTGTGTAGGTTTCTTTTTAGCAATGAAACATGCAATGTAAATTCATTTAAGCAAGAATTATATAAATCTCACATCAAATGGAAACAACTTTAAAGATCACGAATCTTAACACTTTCTGAGAATATTTTACTAATATTTCCTCTGACCAATCAAGTTTTAAGTGACTCCATCTTTTTACTCTTAACTTTATTCCTTGTTAAAATGTGACATTATTATCAAGTAAATGTCACAATTCTATTTAGTTCTATCTAAGTCATACTAAATCCAGTTGTTGCGACAAACACTTTTTCACCAGTGATTTCTGAGAAGTAGATTTTTTGTCAGACTCATTTTTTCTGACTTGATGCCCCCCCGCCCCCCCTCCGTCTCACCGACATAACAAATTGACTTAGTCTATCAGTCTAACACAAATTTAAACACTGCTGAAAGGTCAATTTCTAAAACTTGTTGAATTTCTTGTATATTAGTCAATTTTAATAGTAATTCACCTAAGAGTCCTCCAGCAAACAAGATGTCAAAAAGCTCCTCAGCATACCGCCTGTAGTTAAGTTTAGCTCCAGTGACGTCCAAATATTTTGAAACCTTGAAAATAATATAAAATCAATATTAATTGTAATGACCAATAATTCCTATATAATATTTCCACACCTCCAAGTGTCTGTCCTACTATTAAACAGGTGTGTTCAATTTCCCTTGTCTGACTCCCAGTGCAAGTACATTGTCCGGGCTCCTCAACATTTTCAGTATTTACTTTTAAAAGTTAAGACCTGGTCGGCTAGTATTATTGACAAAAGCTGTCTCTACACTTACATGAAATAGAACACCTTAACACTCAATTTCAAGCAAATTTTGAGAAAACTTCAAACTCTGAAATGCTTTCTCAAAAGCACAATTTTAGTTTCATAGGCATTTAATATAGAACTGTACTACATCATCAAATAGTAGTTCTTATCTACTTATTCAAATCAATTTATTCTTAACTTTGGTAACATCAACATATTATATCTAATGAATCTAGAAACCATAAAATTAAACTTTATTCCTTTTATAGCAACCAAGAAAAAAACTTAATATTACCCATTTTGGAGATACCATTTCTTATCAAATAAATTCAAGGAATTTCCTTTTGTAATGAATTCAAGAAACTTTTATAAATGTGGGTTTAAAAAAAAATGCCCATGTTTTTCATCTCATAATATATTGATGACCAATTTGTTATTATTTTGCATATATACTTGACAAATGACATCAACAAAGATATTCGGTATATACGTACCTGCTCTAGATCTGCACCTGTTTCGTTGAGACCAAGAACAATAGCATCCCTAAACGATGTAGGATCGTATTTTTCTTTTTCATCTGTAAATGTAAGATGACGCTTTCAAATTTCTGCTATATTTATATAATTACAACAAAGAATTTCATCATGATTGTACAAAACACAAATTGAAAAAGTCAGTGTTTTTGTTACCTAGATTTTACAACAGCCTGTTTCTTTATGAATGGGGAAAATATAGGATTTTTTGTATTTTAATTGGGAATATATTCCTCAGTTTATGGTCATTTTGGGAAAATAAGATACTTTTAAGCGAGGTGAAACAGCCTGTATTTGGCAGTAAAACACAGCAATAAAAAATCACATGTCAACTTACTTCCAAATTTTCAAAACAGACCATTTTTATCATTTTTACTCTTACCCCTTTTCCGAGTTTTCAGACGTTGGCCTGACAGCGAGGGTTTTTCTGCCTTCTGACTCATAAAAACTCTGAAATAAGAAAGATTTTGATTTATACATCAGTGCATAAATTTCCTGTTTATAACAACATGAAACTGATTCAGTTATAATTTTAATTCAAAGACTTTGGTTGACCGGCTAATTATTACTAATTGCTGTTCAAGCTGAAAGTAAACCAAAGTATACCTGGCTTTCCCCCCTCCCACCCATATAAACCCTGGCTTTCCCCCCTCCCACCCATGTTAACCCTGGCGTTCCCCCCTACCACCTATGTTAACCCTGGCTTTCCCCCCTCCCACCTATGTTAACCCTGGCTTTCCCCCCTACCCCCCATGTAAACCCTGGCTTTCCCCCCTCCAACCCATGTAAACCCTGGCTTTCCCCCCTACCCCCCATGTAAACCCTGGCTTTCCCCCCTCCCCCCCCTGTTAACCCTGGCTTTCCCCCCTCCCACCTATGTTAACCCTGGCTTTCCCCCCTACCTCCCATGTAAACCCTGGCTTTCCCGCCTACCACCCATGTAAACCCTGGCTTTCCCCCCTACAACCCATGTAAACCCTGGCTTTTCCCCTACCACCAATGTAAACCCTGGCTTTCCCCCTACAGACGCTACCACCCATGTAAACCCTGGCTTTCCCCCCTAACACACATGTAAACCCTGGCTTTCCCCCCTACCACCCATGTAAACCCTGGCTTTCCCCCCCCTACCACCCATGTAAACCCTGGCTTCCTCCCCTACCACCCATGTAAACCTTGGCTTTTTTTCTCCTAGACGCTAGTGCTACCACCCATGTAAACCCTGGCTTTTTTCCCCCTAGACGCTAGCGCTACCACCCATGTAAACCCGGACTTTTTTTCCCCTAGACGCTAGCGCTTCCACCCATGTAAACCCTGGCTTTTCCCCTAGATGCCAGCGATACCACCCATGTAAACACTGGCTTTTCCCCTAGACGCTAGCGCTACCACCAATGTTAACCCTGGCTTTTCCCCTAGATGCTAGCTCTACCACCCATGTAAACCCTGGCTTTTCCCCTAGACGCTAGCACTACCACCCATGTAAACCCTGGCTTTTCCTCTAGCACTAGTGCTACCACCCATGTAAACCCCGACTTTTCCCCTACAGACGCTAGGGCTACCACCCATGTAAACCCTGGCTTTTCCCCTACAGACGCTAGCGCTACCACCCATGTAAACCTTGGCTTTCCTCCTACAGACGCTACCACTCATGTAAACCCTGGTTTTTACCCTAGACGCTACCACCCATGTAAACCCTGGCTTTCCCCCCTACCACTCTGTAAACCCTGGCTTTTCCCCTACAGACGCTACCACCCATGAATTCTTTCTTGTTACAATTGTTCTTGGATATATTTTGCTTCTCGTGTGTTCAGTTGAATTCATTGCTATGGAAGTGCAATTTCATTTTTTCGAAAACTATTTCCTATATTCGGGATAGGCTATAATTTGATCCTTTCATCACTCTGTTCATATTTGCAGAGCAATTCTTATTTTGGTTCTAATCTTGCAAACATGAAGATGATATTATTGTAGTAGGACGAGGAATAGGGATAAAGAAAGTGCTGTCGCTAGGGCTCAAACCCGGACCCTTGGCTTTTTTGTTTGTTTGTTTGATTTTGTTTAACGTCCTATTAACAGCTAAGGTCATTTAAGGACGGCCTCCCCTGTGTGCAAGATGCATGCGTGTAGTGTATGTGTGTGCATTTTGGGAGGCTGCGATATGTTCGTGTTTGTCTTCTTGTAAAAGCGCAGAACTGATGCCGACTTTATAGTGCTACCTCACTGAAACATACTGCCGAAGACACCCAACAGGACGCCCCACCCGGTCACATTATACTGACAATGGGCGAACCAGTCGTCCCACTCCTAATTTGCTGAGCGTTAAGCAGGAGTAGACCCTTGGCTCTCCAGCCCGTTGCTGTACCGCTGAGCTAAAGGGAAATTCCCTACAGCTGAAGCTTGTAAGGCAACCTAATTAATCCACATCTTTTACATTATAATGGTTGATAATTGATTTTTTTTTCTTGGACAACGTGGAAAAGGGTATGTGTTCATATCCAGAGAGAAAAAGAATATCCAAAAGTATGTCCATTTTTTTAATTTGTGACTGTACTATAAATAATCACAACATGACTCATAAATCATCATTGTGGTGAAATGCCCCCTGGCAAAAAAAATTCCAATAGAACAATACGAGCTACAAATCAAGAAAACAAGACTAAATAAATAAACAAAATATAATAAGTTTAAATAATGGATAAAACAGCAAGCATGTTTTCAAAACGATATGCAGTTTTTTTCAGAGGATCTCTGCGAAAAAATTGAGACGCAAGGTACTTCGTTCGTTGGTGACCAGCTTAGCTTTCAACACGTGATATTCAAAACCATACCGACTACGTAAGGATCAAAACTTGAAATCGAATAAAAAACAATGAGTGTACTTAAAGTGATAGTAAACACATGATTAAAACATCAAAGAGGTCTTTACCAGTAAATAAAGGCCGGGTTTTCCGCAGTTACCTTGGAACTTCCTTCTACTATGTCGTCGAGAAAGAAAAGAATTGAATTCTATTTTTAGATACCACATTCGCGTGAAATCTCGTCATGTGCACGTAAACGGGATTTCAAAAAACTACCTAAAAAATGTTTGTAAACTACATTGCTGGCTAATAAAAGATAAGCGCTTTAAATACAGAGAATTCTTTTAAACATTCGGAACATTTCTGAACTTTACCGGGCACGAACATTGTTAAAAATGTCAGCCTCCTTGGTCAACCTTGTGCGACACACTGTCAATTTTCAAGTAAGTACATTTGTTATGTTGTATGATATTTTTGAGTCCAAATGATATACAGTTCATTGTCTTGTATCCCTCCACTTTTCTTGACGATCGTTATTTACCTGAACACAGGAGTTCGTTACAAATGTTTGAAATACACAAATGCTAAACTGAATATGGATCACAACACACATCAACATATAGCATATGTATATTTCAGACATTTGTAGGTCCTAACGAACCCCTGTTCCTGAAACGAGCATAAAAAGAAGGAACTTGGTAACTCCTAATATGAAATAGGTGAGACCTTGTCAGCGGGCACACATGCAAATACAATTCAATAAACCATATATTTTTTTTGGGGGGGGG